GGCAGCGAGCGGGACGGGAGCGCCGGCAGCCGGACCGTCCCCTCGGCCCCGGCCCCGCAGCAGCCCGCACCGCGCAGGCCGCGCTCCTCGCGCCGGCTCTTTGAACCGTTCTGACCAGAAGAGATCCTGCGAAGTTCGCGCCTCCTGCTTCATGCCTCAGGGTGACACGTATCTTCTCTGAGGAGGTGGCTGGAGGGAAAGCGAATGGTGGATGGGCACAGCCAAACGGACAGAAGCGGCACGGGGAGGTAACGGGGCCTTGGCTGCATAGCAATACGCCAGTGATTTCTCTACATCTGCTTGCCACGTCCCCACTAAAGGAATGTCGCCTGCATGGCTGGTTGTTGGTCTGTCGAATTTGGATGGTTGAATTCAGTCCCTTGAGCTTGCAGGTAACTAATTCCTCAGTCCTACAAATTGCCTATTTCAACCCATGACAGACTGCAGCCACAAAGCACTTTAATGCCAATGGTCCCAGGAAAACATGGTAACGTGCCACAGAGGAAAGGAACGATGGATGCCATGGCACTGCAATGGCAGAGAAGCATTCTGGTTATTTGGCTTGGAGGGTGCTTGGAAGAGGGCCACACCTCACATGGAAGACATTTTATTAGCCCTTTTCACAGTCTTATCCCACTGGCAGCTCCTGGTCATGTTACCATTGACAAGTACGCTCAGAGCCCTGTCTTCCTCTACTGCCTCTAGTCTATATACTGCTCCCACCTTATAGCAAAAGTTATCATCAGTCCCTCAGTACATGCTGTTGTACATCATGCCTTTTCTAATGCCCCTCTCCACAAGGAAGATCTAGCCAAGTAGCACACAAGGGAGTGATATGTCTAACATCACATCCAGCCACCTATGATTCCCAGCTTGAATAACCAAGCACCCATTTATAGTTGGGTCAGCTGGAGGCAGCCTTTGCAAAAGTTCAAAGCAGAGCTGAAATTCGTGTCTCTAGAACCACAGTAAACCACCTTCACAATCTGGTCACTGCACCCCACCCTCCTGCCCAACTCCACAAGCTTATCTAATTCTTCCTGTAACATAACACTCCCCTTCTCATTGGCAATACGCCCCAGGTAAGTGCAGTCTGCCAACTTCACAGACACACACCTAGTTCCTGAACCAAGTTTCCTAATGAGAACATTGAACAGAACAGCTCCCAAAAATTAATCCCTGAGAAACACCACTAGAAACTGCTCTCCAATTTGGTAACTCAAATTTCAGCACAAATATCACACGAACACCTATACACGCACAAGTGCTTTTATTCATATGACTTAATCCCTGTGGCATGGCCAAATTCCAGCTTGAGTAACTATATTCTGCCTACATCTATTGCACTTCTATGGTCTGGGCGTCATTTACTTTCCCACAGACCTCCCTCATATTGGAACTTCTTTGTTCAAGCTTGTACTAAATTTGTATTTTCTTTGATATTTTATATATGGAGTGATGTGACACCAAGCTATATCATCTGGGCTGCATTCTTGGGAACCTATAAAACTGACATGTGGAGTATAGGGTTTTATAAATGAAGATGCATCAGATTATTGTGCGACTCCTGCAGTCTACTGAGTCCTGCCCTCATTTTACATTTGCATACAGGAAATGTTATTAAATACATTGTATATTATTAAACTGCTGCCAAAACTAACACATGCTCAGTCATAGAAACCAACTATGAAGTTGATTAAATGCAGCCAACATTGAGTATAAAACACAAGGCCCATATAGCGTGACATGGTGATGAGAACCATTATTTTTTTGGTCCCTAAAAGAAAGGGGGAGGTAGGGGGAAAGGTGTTCCCTCTGCAGGGAACTGGCACCAGGCCAGTACTGAGAGGGCCAGAGCCAGCCCTCATATTTTCCCCTTGGTGCCAAAAATATTATATTTGATATACTGATGGAAGCCTACCATATATTTTTTTTAATTTTGTTTGTTTAATCAGGCAAATCAATTAAATTAGTTCCTAATTTCATCCACTGAGCAGAGCCCCATCATTCAAAACCATGTGGTGCTACCACAAGCAAGTGTCTTCCCTCCCAGACTCTTCAGCCCAGGGTTTCAGATAGTCCCAAATCCATGGCAGGCACTCTACGTTCAGGCCCCAAAACTGGAGATCTTGGGGCTTGGATGCCCCAAGTCTTGCTTGACCTTTAGTCAAAGAAGCAAGTTAGGAAGAAATCCCCCATCTCCGCAAAATAAATGTAACTTGGGCGGTACTCCAAGAGGTACCCCCTCTCCAATTGAAGGGATCAAAGCAGGTGCACAAGCGCTGTGGGAGGTGTAGGGACTCTCCTCCCCCTATAGAGCAGAGCCAGACCACCAATGGGGACTTAACCATATACCTTTTAAAGAGAACAGTACTGGGAACATAACAGGCATAAACCGGGGGTACAGGAGACACTACAATGCCCCAAGGGGGCAGGATTCAACAAAGGTTAGACACTTACAATCATAGACATATTCATCCAGTTGACAAAAGACAGGGTTAACAAAATATAAAACACAAACAGCAGAACAAACGATACCGGTTGGTGAAACATAAAAGGCACAAAATACAAATGTCAAATAACAAGGAATATAGGGCCTAGGTGCCTGGAAGGGGAGAAAGCACAATGATCCCTTTCCACTGCAACAAGAATTTCTCCCTGTTATTTCACTCACCCCAGCTAGAACTATGAACTCAGATTTCCTGTATGGTAGGCAGAAACTCTATCACACAGCCACCAGTACTGGCACTGTGTTAAATTTCTAGGGGTCTTGACCTTCCTGGATCCCCGGGCTCATGCCAAGCTGCCTGGCCTCTGCTTGGAGGAGCTGGAAGCAGAGCTGGGAACCTCTCAGGTCATTGCTCAGACCCTTGCTGGGGTGGGGGGGGGAAAGAGGCTCTCCCACTGGCTGCAGCCTCTCATAGAGGATCCTGGAGCCCAGCAGGGAGCCTCTCTTGCTGGCTGCATGCTGCACTGCTGAGGGTCCAACTGCTGCCTGCAGGTCCCACTCCTTCAGGTGCTTCTGGGGCAACTGCTCCCACCCCACCCCACCCCACCGGCTCAGCTCTTGACAGCTCTTTGAAGCTCCTTCCTTGTGGTCCCTTGCTGGTCTTCCCCAAGTCAGCCACGCTGCCCCTTTTATCCCCCTCCAGGTGATTCAAGGGGCCAATCAGGGGACATGGAGGGTGCATCTCTGGGGCCTGATTGGTGAGAAAAGGAAATCCAAAGTCCTCCAATCATCTTTTACCCCTTTCAAAACCCCTGGGCTAAGTCACTGCCAGCTACCCCATCACATAAGCATGTAG